AAAGTTTCCAATCAAGACAATTTGCTAGCTGATAGTGGCACATTTTGCAATGGACTGCGTCGAAGACAATTATATATCGATGGGCCTCTGCAATAACGATACAACTCAAATTATAGCAATTTGCAATAGATCCAATTAGAGTTTTCGCGTTATATAACTTACTAATAATATGTATCGGAACATAATTATTGTGAATTGTCTAGTGGTAGTTAGTACGGATTAGACTTAAAAAGTGATTTTATTTAAACAAAAAGTAACTATTTGCTATTCGAAAAAGGTCACACTGCGTCTGAACCATGATTAAGGTTTCCGGACATTTGACAATCTTATAAATTTTAAAAGTATATTGTTTCTAGTTTTTAAAAATTCAAAAACGAAAATCATACATACAGGGCTTTTCGAGAAAAGCGACTTTAAAAATTTGTATTCTATTTTTTTTTTTTAATTTTACAATTGTAATTTTTACAGTTACACTGTATGTACATTAGCGTGGTCCAAAATCAGTAAAGACGAAATTTTGATGCTCTCACCCCCTAAGATTTTTCTTCACCGAAAAAAATTTTCCCGTTTTTTGTACCGAAACAAAAAAAAAAAAATGTTAGAGATCGCCCAAAGCGCTTAAAGTTTTCCATGTATTTAATATGGGGAAAACCGATTTTTCGACGATATATGATAAAGAATTATTTTACTATCGGAAAACTCTGTTTCTTTTCAGGAACTTGTTTATTTAACAATTTACTAATACTCACTATTTTATATGGTTCAACCAAAATCAAAAAAAAAAATCGTTAGTATATAAAAATGGTTAAACAAACAATTGGGTATTTTTACCACACATTCACTAAGGATGTTCTCTGGCGTTTCTTCGTCCATCTCATAGAAACCACAGATGCTCGTGTCTGAAATATTCATTTTACAGAGGTGATAATGCAGGGAACAATGCCCCGTGAAGTACCCAGTTAGATTTTTGAGCGGCAGATAAACCGTTTAGCTTGTCTTTACCTAGGACATTAACTCCAGTGCCTATGGATTTTTATTTCTACGCAATTGTCTATTCATTGCCATCGTGGCCCCCATGCCGCGGCACTCAGCCAGTAATACTGTGATCTTGATTCCAGAGCCTTTTAAATTTTCCTCGTAAGGCTATGAGTGGCAGTCTCAGTAGCTTTTCCTTGGTGATAGGCGAGTTTTTTCTTACGCCTTAACCTATGTCCATCTACTGGCAATAGCAACTATAAAATTATAAGAAGTGAAATACAAACTTTTCGAGTCACTTTTATCGAAAAGCCCTGTATGTATGATTTTCATTTTTGAGTTTTTAGAAACTAGGAACAATACAATTTAAAATTTACAAGATTTTCCAATGTCCGGCAACTTCGATTTTCTGAAAAATGACTAAATTGCACCTACTGGCGGACTGTCAGCAAGTAAAAACTCATATGTCGGTGTTCCACAGAAAAATATCGTTATTTATCAACCTGATTACGTATATATTGAAATACATTATATTTTGAGTTGTACCGTTATTGCAGATCACCGTGGATATATGTATTAAATCTGTATTATATATTTGAATATCACAATGTACGTTTCTGCAATATTTTCTTCATTTCCAGCTCTTCTGTGTATTCTCTCGAAGCCAGCGATGAATGAAATCTTCTTAGTGCTTGTGTCCTATGTTATTGTCGGCACCTTTGTTGCCATTGAAATTGCTGTGGGTTATGCAACATTGCCAAGGTGAGTACTGAATAACAATTGCTTTGTAGCCTTCGAAGTTTTCATATGCTTATAAATTCACAAGTATACATATTTACATATAAATAAATGTAACAAATAATTGCAGCGTAGGTGGTTGGGGTATTTAATTTGCACATTTGTGCACGCATCAATCCAGTGCAGGAGTATGGGGCTCCATAATAAGCTACGAATTTCGCCTTTAGTATCATTCTGCATATGCATATTTATTATGACTACTATTATGTGGAATAAGAGATGCGTAGCTGAAGAAACTTGAGTCATAATAATGCAAGGAAACAGATTTAACCAATAAACTTAAGTACATATTAATATGCACACACATATATATGTATGTATGTGGATGCTCTTATATTTCGGCAGAACTGTGCACTAACTTCATTAGTATAAATAATAATTGGTTTAGCATTCGAATTGAAATTGAAGTGGGTATTTATATAAGTTGTTAGGGGATTTGTTGCTATGGGGAATTGGCACGTATCTCATAGTGCGGTTAGCTTGATTAAAAGAAAATATGGGTTTTGAAGATGGCACTATGTAAATGCAGACGGTAGATGGTATTTTGCCTTAGGGTTCGACTCAAAGCTAAAGCGAGTCAATTTTCTTACTGGTCTTACTTTGATTGAACTTGAACTATAACCATAACTTTCGCGACCTCAAACGTGGTTTCCTACGCATGATCTTTTGTCCTATACTATATGCCAAGTGTCGAAATTATAAGCGATTCACGTATTGGATCGAATACACTCAGAAAAACATTCCTTGAAGCTAGGAAAAAAGTATATTATTCTAAGGAAATATTACCTTGAAATGACTCCAAAGAAATGTCTGCCTCAATATGTGTAAACAAACGATTTGACTCAATTGAAGGAAACCACTAATTCCTTTGTTTCAGTACTATTTTCTTTCTTCTTAGGAAAAATTTAATTGCCGTGAAAGGAATAAGTATGCCATTTTGCTCGTGGCGCTCAAACAGTCGCAATGGCTGACAGAGCAAAGCCCTGGGATGGCCGTCGAGTGATGTAAGGTTCGAGTCCCAGAGCAGGACATTTTTTTATTTATTTTTATAATTGTAATATTTTAAATTGTATTTAATAAAAAAAATTTATCTCATTTATTTTTTATGGTATTTGAGTATTTAGGTTTTTCCCAGGTACAATAATTACAGATATTGTCTTCTCAGAGAGCACATATTCCGATCTGCCTTATTTGAAAAGCATCATTGATGCCCACACTAAATAAAAGGTTTACTGCTAGGGAAAAGGGATATTTCCATACCCCATTAACCATATCACACCCCGTCTTCAAAAGAGTCACAACTCAAAATAATACGTTTGTCAGAAAATGCGAATTGAGAAATTTGCTCAAGCTTTTGCTGAAAGGTAAATAAAAGCTCTGTGTACATTTTTAGCGCAAAATCTCGAAAATTCCAAATTTTGAGTTGTGACTCTTTTGAAGACGGTGTGTGTTATATGTACACGTATTGTTTTAAACAATCGTTCTTGCAGAGTACTTATTTAATTTGCAAAAATTAAATTGAGCGAAAACAAAAAGCAAAGCCAAATAAAAGTAAAGGAATCAACATTGAACTGCGTCAAAATGAAAATAAGGGAGCACGAATTTCGATGTGAAGTAAAACTCTCTGGGAAGATAATACCTCTAAGTATTGTACCATGGGTTTTTCCATATGAAATTAATTTTAGAATTTGTTATTTATATTTGAATTGAAATAATTGACATACCTTACTCTAACTACCTCCAACCGGACTCGAAACTGCGATCTCAGAACCAGAAGCAATAGTTTTCACGCGACGCCACAGCAAGCAAAAACTTCATCTTAACTTCATCTTAACAGAACTGACACTCACTTATATTGAGTAAATTTATTTCCTGAAATTAATGCCGAACTATTTTTTGCACGAACCTTAATTAAGGAAAAACTTCTTAAATTGAATAAATTGTTCGTAATATTACGAAAAAAACAATAACTCTGGAAAATGGATTCTTGTTTTAGGAAAATGCTTTTTTCTGGATGAAGTTACCAATTAATTTTTTATTATTTAGTTATAGTAATTTTTTTAAGATGTAGTTTATTTTTTTTTTATCAAAAGCCGTATTATTTCAAACCTCAAATTATGTGCAGTATTAAAAAAAAAATCAATAAACTTTCGCAAAAATTATAAGCCTTTAAAATTTATTTCTTAAAAAGAATTTGGGTATACAGTTTTGTAGCAAATTTAAAAAATGCCACAAACATTTTTTAAAATTTTACGCTTTTTAATTAAATAGATTTGTTAGAAAGATTTTGAGCATGAAGTTATGTAGCTCACGAAATTATAATAAGGTACAAGTTTAAAGTAGCTGGCACTTAAAATTGATTTTTGGACTTGTTTTGCTGATGGTGTTGAGGATTTTCTTTTAAACAAACCTGGTATGTTCGACGACTTTTTTATAAGGGGGAAAATGCACAATATAATCAGAAAAAAATTGTGGAAAATCAACGGCAAGTACTTGCTACTTCAAACTTGTGGTTTACTAAAATTGAATTGGGCTACAAAACTGCGTACTTCAAATTTTTGTAAGAAGTCTAACTCCAAAGAAAAATTTTGTTTTTTAATATTGCACAAAGTTTTTTATTTTTTGTAAATGTAAAGTTTATGTAAGTAGGAATTTTCTTCTTCAAAATAAAATCGTTTAAATGTTTCCAAACAGAAACAACAATTTCTGTTCACTACCCTGAATGTTATCTATGTGACGCTCAGCAACCTCAATGTGCTTCAATTCTGGCCCCAACTGTATCTTATAGGGATAGAGCCATTAACATTATGCATAACGGGTTGAAAGGAACCTTTAAACAAATTTTGGAGACTGTCCTTACTGTGACTGACTGACTGTTAATCGATGGCCTTGGTCGCTCCATACGAGGTTTCCTCCTTGTTGAGCCAGCCTCTTTCAATTACTCTACACACGTTTGAGGACCTGAATACTCGTTGCTTGATCCACATACTTAAGAATGTGAAGCAAATAATTTCGATTACAAAAGTTTCGCTATTAAATTCTCAAGGATGTTAGTGCTGTAGGTGAAATAAATTTAAAAAGACTTTTTGAATAGCCTGTATAAGGGGCTTTTATTGACGGGTAATGATGGACAGATAATAAGATTACTCTGCTGTGCATATTCCATCGAGTGATTATTGGGTTTTTTGTCTACCCTATAAATCTCTGCTTCTCAAAATGGAGGAGAAGTTGCGATTTGCTAAAGTTCGGCCCAAATATGCTGGTCCCAGTTTTTCCATACACTATTATTTGTAATTTAATATGCACTCCAGGGGGTTCTATCTGTAGACGATTTCTCAAAGTGCCTATAGATTTGAATAATTAACTACGCTGGTGAGGAGGAGTGAAAATATTGCGAAAGAGGGAGTGGGAAAAAGGCAAAGGCAATGCAAAGACAGAGATACAAATAAAGACAAAGATAAAAGTATAGATAAAAAAATTAAGACAAAGGCCAAAAAAAAATAATTAAGTGAAGACAAATATATAGATGATGATTATCACAATACCCAAACACGACCTCCAAGAAAAATCAAACATAAAAACAAAGCCACAAAGTTAAGACTAAGGCTAATTAAATGAAAGAATTTCCAATTTCGTGTTGTGGCCCAGGCGATTTCTGTTTTTTTCTGCATGGTACGCCTAGAGGTTCAAGGCGAAAATTTCACTTTGCTCAAAACGCACACCGACACTGCCACTTTCCTTATTTGACCTCTATTTCTGTGGAAAACACATCTTCTCGTCTGCCTTCGTATGTCAGTGATATTCGAAGATCCTCTATTTCAGCTTCCAAAAAACCTATTGAGAAACCCTTCCATTTAGATAACTGGGTACATTAGAATGCCTCGAGAAAAAATTTGTTACCTCCTCAAGCGAATTTGCACTTTTTGGAACACAATTCATAGAAAAAAAACCCGCAGCCAGGAAATTCCAGGGGATATCTTAAATTGAGCTCATATTTAATTACTTTACACATTCATTTCTTCTCAGACAATTTTGTGGGGAAAAATTTGGGAATTATTTTTTTTTTGTTTTTAATAAAAAGTGCGATTTTTGAATTCGCGTGGACAAAGACACGTAATTTTTTGTGTATTAGACGCGAAGCGAGAAGCAGATTATTGCACATACTTACATACAATGAACGTATTTTTTGTATGCATTTAATATTATGAAGCCATGAAAGTTTTTTCTACAACTAGTAATTTGGCTTCAAGTATATTTCAAAATACCTGCGTACTACACTGTTGTCATGTTTTTTCTACGAATTAATACAAGAACATGTTAATGACATTAAAATAGTTTTAAATCATAATTTTTAATTTTTTATTTGACGTATGGTTGTTTGCACATTACTTGGTTTTACACATGTACATACACTTTGCATAACATAGTTTTTTGTTGTACCTGTGCTTAAGTTATTTACGCATAAAATGGCATTAAGCCACGTGGATTAAAACAATTTAATTACGGCATACTTTTGTTGTTTGAGACATTGTGGTTAATAGGTGCATACGCAACATTGTACATGGCGTATACGTAACCTTTTGAGATTATGTATTAGGCATGTGACATTTTTCTAAAATTAATTCTATTGTTTGAAATGAAAAATCTAGAGAATTAACGTTTTTGTTAAAACTTGGTCAAAAATTGCCAGAGTGTACCCGAGAAGAGAAAAAAAAAATCGTACTGAAAAAAAACATTACATACTTACATACCACTGTTTTAAAACAATTCGGTAGCATTTTGTAAATTAATGAGTTTTTTTTAAATATAGTTCAAACCGCAACAAAAACTATGTAAATAAATGTTTCAAACCTTGTATAAAACTTGGAAAAATTGAACAAATTTTCATCAAAATTTCAAACTTTTTAATATGTACAAATTTTAAGGAAAATTTCGGGTATGCAGTTTAATGACCCATTTAATTTGAGCTATATTCAAAAAAAATTATTAATTTAAAAGCTCTAGAAAATTTAAAAAACAAAAAACTGGTTGTAAGGTTTGCGTGGCTACGAGAGTATGTAAATGGAAAATTTCATGTCAACCAATTTATGACTGGGGCCAAAAATTTCTTTTCTAAACTTTTATTTTTTTTTTTATTGTTGACTGGGAATTTTCTAAATATAGCACATATGACTTTTTATGGATTTTTCGTATGTGGTACGGAAAACGCATTTATGTACATGTGTGGAAAATTTCAAGTAAACAAATAAAAAAATTAAAAAAAATTTTTTTTTTTGATCGCAGTCATAAATCGTTTGCCATGAAATTGTACATATCGCTAGCTGGGTGTGAATAGTTGTTAAGCAAGCAAGGAGAATTAAAAATGCCCATTTCTGTGCAGTTGAAGGAAAATTTGTCAAGTACAAAGAAAGCAAAAAAAATCTGCTAAATTATGTAAAAAGAATTGGAAAATTCTTCATAAAGGTGGAACTCTCTAAAAAATATGCGGGATTTTTTTTTCCAAATTTAGGCAAAAAAGTTGATTTTGTTTTTGTTTTCATCATTCCCATCATCTCTTCACGGTATATCGGTTTATAGAAAAAACTCGTATGCCTATTGTGTATGCAAAATAAATACCAATATACTTACATATGTATACGTACATACATATATACTATATGAATATGTAAGTTTATTATAAGTGGTTACTTTCATGGCAACAAAAAGCATTGTACGCGCTTTTGTTCGCATAAACTTCATTAAATTATTATTTATCCGCAATTTTTCCACGGTTTTCTATGTATACACGTACACACAAATTTATGTCGCTTATTTCTTCAGCCGCGTACATACATGTGCACATACGGTGGCGAGAATGTAAAAGGGAGAGACATTTTAGCAGGTTTTGGATATTTTTCTTTGTTTAAAAAATGTATACTATTTTTATTTTAATGAAAATATATCTTACTATCTAAACAAAATTTTGTAAATCAAATTTTCAAACAATGTAGAACATTTATGAAAGCTTTACGACTTTGAACAAATGTTCACCAAAATTTTAAAATTTTTAATCAAATTTTTTGAATTTTTTTGAGCGTGCAGCTCTGTAGGCCATTTAATTTTAGCGCAATAAAGTGCAAATTTGAAGTAGCTAGGACTTACCGTTAATTTTTAGCAATTTTTTGTATTTTTTTTTGTATGGAGAAAAAGAACAACACCCTCCACAAAAAAATTGCCAAAAATCAATGGCTAGCTACTTTGTACTTCGTGATAAAAGAATTCAATTGTCTACAAAACAGCATACATATAGTAATTCTAAGGAATCGAATTAAAAAGCTGAACATTTAGATGAAACTTTGTCGAATTTTGCTAATTTTTGTACAGAGTTTGAAATTTTTACTTACATGGATTTTTTTTTTAAGCTAACAAGCTACACTTTTATAAAAAAAAATATAAACGCTAAATAAACGAAAGGGAAATATCCAAAGAATGTTCAAATATCTCCTCCCTATATATATTTTCGCCACTGTACATACAATGCTCATTCTTATACACTTTCTCATTGAGCATCATTCTCTTTTTGCTCGCAGCAAATCGTACAACGGCAGTTCCTGTTGTGTTGTCTTCATCTACATGACTTATACAATGTTGCCGCTACGTCTACGCGAGGCACTCATCGGTGGCATTGTGCTGTCCTGCATGCACATCTACACCAGTCTACGCTACACTGAAACAACAATACATTGGCAGGAGGTGAGTTGTTGTAACTATATAGTTATGCATTTGTACGCAAAAGCTTACACACATAGCCTTACGATACAAACATAGCTGCATACATACATACATACATATAAGGATGTTCATAACGGAGAGCCACTGCAGTGCTCCTCCAATCGACAGAGTGCAGTCAATTTGTTGATAAACTTTATTATTTTGCAAGAATTGTATGGCAAAGCAAGAACAAAAAAAAAAACAGAGACCCACAACAAAAATGTAGAGGATTTGTTAGATAAATGCGTGAATTTTTCTATTTAATGACTTTTGATATAGCGTGGAAAAGTAGCTTACAGCTGCTGCCTTACTCTACTTGTTAGCGCTGTGGGCTATTTTACGGGCTTGTTGCACTCAGCTTGACTTCTTGGCTATTTGTCGCTGTTGTATATAGTTCCTTATAAATGTTGTAATGTGATCGCCGCAGGAGTAGTGTAGCGATGACAAATATGTTGATGGCAAGAATGTTGCTGCTTTCCTGCTGCGTTCTAATAGCGCGGATGGGAAAGGTATACCTGAAGTAACTTTGTTCAATTTGCCAACACTACATAACTTTAAAAAGCGATTTTTAAATGTATAACTTTACAGCGATAAATTGCATAACAAAATAATAAATGAGCTATAAGTTAATTTAATCTGTAAATGAAATAAGCTGGTCGAAAGATGTTTACTAAAAAAACATGCAGTTATTTGCGTAATTCAAGCACGTAAGCATTTCATAACAGCTATACTTGCACAAAAAATATTAATAATAAATTCGACTTCACACAAATTTATGCGCTTAAATTATTACAATATGGAGCGAGGATGTGAAAATAATACGATCTGTGCACAGATTTAATGAAGCTTAATTCCATGAAATTTAACTTTTGCTTGCAAAAACTTTTTACGCGCTATTTTTAACGTTGGTTGAATGATTCTGTACGCGAGCGAATATTAAAAAAAAAAACCACCGAAATCGACAAAAAAAAAAAACAAAAAAAAAATTTTTTGTAAAAATATAATTTACCTGGTTACCTTATAAAAGCAATAAACTGGTTTTATAATTTAATTGAATACTCATTCACTTTTGAATTAATGACATTGATCCCTAGATAAAAATGTATGTATGTATGTACATACAGTATCGGTCATATCAATAGCACCCCCATTTCAAAGTGATATACATATTGGCAACTCATGTTTATGTATTTATTTTTCAGAATTTTCAATTAAAATGGAAGTTTATTCTGTAACAAATCCCATATAAACCCAAGTTTAAAATTTTGTAGAAAACTGCAAAAAAAAATTTAACAAATTTTCACCCAAATTGAAACCTTTTTCTCAGAAATCTTAGAATTTTTTTGAGTACACAATTTTATAGCCCATTCAATTTTAGTCCAATAATGTGCAAGTTTCAAGTGGCTAAAAATTACCCATTAATTTTTTAGAATTTCTTTCGCCGAAGGTGTTGCGGGTTTCTTCCATATAAAAATAAACTCCATTTTAGAGGGGGTGGTGGGGTGGTCTAGGACACTCTTTATATTAAAGAAAGTAGAATCTCCGACAAGACAGGGCGTTTAGATTAGTCAGATACATTCAGTAAAAGACCTTAGGCATTGTTTATGACACTTTGTCACTGCAGGGACGCTAAAATGACACAAAAAAAAAAATGTCGTGGCACGTAAACTTCTTTTTGGGTCATAGATAAGACCATTTTTCTATATCATGTCATCTTCCTAAAAGATTTTATTTTTAAGATTGCATGGCGAGTGAAAAAAAAAATCAAACACGAATAACATTATTTCCTCCTCTCCTGTTTCATACAAAAAAATTATTGCACATTTTCATTTGGCTAATTTATCCATCGATTTGCATCGTTAGTATCAAGATTGTTTGCAAAAGAAGAGGCCTTAAGCAAAAAAACTACAAAAGATTTGTTATTTTTTTAATTTTTGGAGTGAAACTTCTTAATCGAGTTCGGAGATGGTTGCGTTAAATATTTAACACCACGTCATAAAATCTGTATCGTTCGTTCGATTTTTAAAAATGAGGTGTTACATGAAAGGCCTTGTCCTTCGGGTGTGCAACGTAGCTTTAGTTCCATGAAAGGAGTTGCCACATGTTAGAAAATCGAATTCAAAATTTCTCTGCCGCAGAGGGTTGCGTAAAATATTTAACATCAAGTCATAAAATCTGTATCGTTCGTACGATTTTCAAAAATGAGGTGTCACATGAAAGGGCTTGACCTGCAGATGTGCAGTATGGTTTTAGTCTTTTAAAGGGTTGCCATATATACGAAAATCAAATTCAAATTATTTATTAAGTTAAACGAATTATCCCAATATGGGTATCAAAAGAAATGGTTTTGAATAAGTTGTATTTTCTAGCTAAATGTAGGAGGGTTGCCACCTGTTTCAAAAGTAAAATTTAGTTGAATTATACAAAAGTCTTACGCTTAAAATACTATACAGTACAGAAAGAGCTTACAGAAACACAATTAAAATATTTTTGAGGAGCCTGAAGAGGGTGGCCACCTGTTTAAAAGTTAAACTCAAATTATTGAAGCAAATCTTATTATTATAGCTCCGTTATGTTTTCGATAAATATTTAACGCCACGATACAGGTTGCATATGACGGGTATAGAAAACGAATAGCTGCGTTAAACGCCAATTGGCGGGAAAAGACTAATGCAAAGACAAGAATATAATCAAAAACAAATATAAAGATAAGATGACGATGAAGATGAAGATGAAGATGAAGATGAATATGAAGATGAAGATAAAGGTGAAGATGAAGATGAAGATGAAGATGAAGATGAAGATGAAGATGAAGATGAAGATGAAGATGAAGATGAAGATGAAGATGAAGATGAAGATGTAGATGAAGATGAAGATGAAGATGAAGATGAAATTATATATGTATATTAGAAAATAAGTACATGTGTATGTATATCGCACATTTCTTTCTTTCTGGAATTTCCTCTATTAAGTTTCACTTCTTCCGCGCGTAGGGACTACACGCACTGGGTTTTTTTCCTTGTTAAAGTTTGATTTTTTTTTATAAAAGTGAATATGTCTTGGGAGATTGACCTGAGCTGAAAAAAACGGCATGCAGATTTATAATCTACGACCCAATATTAAGTTAACGGTTTTCGGCATTTCTTTTTGTGCCATTTGAGAACTTGATACTTTGCCACAATGTTGTTGAAGTCCCAAAATCTTTGATTGGGACCACACATAGTCTACTCGTCCGCTAATGAAACATATTAAACTAGCGTGATCATAATTTACACGAATCAAGATCACCGAAGCATAGAGCCTCGCGGCAGTTGTAAACGTCTCGTTCTTGGATACCAGGTCTGCTGGTAGCAGATACAATTTCGATATTTAAAATTGCAGTTAGCGGTGAATATGCCTTGCGTTTTTCGTACCCGTAAAGTATTGACTTTTATATAGGGTTCTCTCACAGCCAACACAGGCTTAAAAGGTACGAGTAGTCCGCAGGTAGGGCATACATGTTTCTTGATACCTCTGTTTTTGAAATTCGGTATAAAATTCATGTATATACATACTTACATATATAAACAACAAGAAGTACACCACATGAGAAAAAATATAGTGCAGACAATAACTTTGCAGGTGGCAACAGCAAATGTACAACAATGGCAATCGACAGGAAATTACAATAAGCACAGTAAAATCTGTTAAACGTGTAATACGTGCAGTAGATACACAAACGCATTCGCGCATACTTCCAACGAACTTAATAGTACTCTCGTAGTTATGCCATGGAAGATGCAACAAATAAATATTGGGTCACATGAAAAGTATCAGCGGATTTGTGGATACATTTTTTAAAACAAATTTCTTTACTGAAATTCAATTTTAATCAAGTACATATTGGCTATTATTATCTATGACCTGTTTGGCTATTTTACCGCTAGCTTCGTAATTCCAACGGTGTAGAACTCCTGTGGCTTATCTGTGAAAAACTGAGACAAGTATTTTCAGCGGTTCTTCGGATGGCCAATTTTTTACCGTGCTGAGAGTTTTGCAAATATCGAAACAAACGAAAGTCAGTCAATTTATTTCAGAGTCATCAAAGATTTGTGTGGGCTGGCCTTGTTGGATTAGTGTTGTCAAATTGTTTGGTCATCAACACCACCTAGTAACAAAAAATCACGGAGACTTTTCATTTGACCCAATATATGTATGTATGTATGTACACACTTTTATATAGACACACTTCTGCACTACATCCAATTGCACTCATCCTGAAGTGGGACAATAAAACATACAGTGCGACATTTACAATTGCTTGTGGCATGCCACATGCATACATGGTGTTGTACATCAAGGCAATTGTTTACTTTTTCCGCTCCACCACAAACACGTGTACCCATACATGTGTGCACACATATACTACTATACTATATAAGCTATTGTTAAACGTTTTCCACAATGCACAAATATAATAACTGTAGAATAAGATAAATATGCAACCTACCTTGCAACCATAGACTTGCATTCATTGTGTTTTCTTTGTGTGTTTCTTTTTTTGTTATTCAATTTTCCATTTTCTCCGACCACAATTCGACATGCAACAGTTGCTCTGCAGCCTTTTAGCATTATTCCTCTCCAATCTGACAGGCATTTATACGCATTGGCCCAAGGAGAAGGCGCAACGGAAGGCATTTATCGAGACACGGCAATGCATTGAGGCGCGTTTGCGTACGCAGCGTGAAAATCAGCAACAGGTGAGTGATTTTATTGAGTACATTTGTACGCGATGTAAGTAACAACATACATACATATGTACATACATACGTAAGTGTATAATTACATAAGAATGGTATGAATGACTGATGGACTTATGTGTGAGTGCTAACCTCTGTTGTCACTTTTTAACTTTCTACTATTTTTATATTCACCACTTGTCAACATCCATTTAGGTAGCTTGATTGAAGGTGTTTGTGAGAATACCCTGTAGAAAAAATTTAAGGGAAATTTATATTTTATACATGTATGTATGCATGTAAATTAGGCTGCCCCAAAAAACAAAAAAGGATTTTTTAACGCATACCCCCTTATTTAATTGGTTAAAAACTCATTTTATTGGTAACTAAAAACCAAAATTATAAGCAATAAGTGAATCAACAAAATTAGGGCAGTTATCGCAGAAAAATTATATTTGGTATGCTGCTTCAGAATATGTACATAAATTAAGACAAATTCGAAGTTTCGGCAATACTGGTGCAAGGACATGACTACCACCCATACATCCTTAAAATTTAAAAGCTTAATTTTAGCTACAAGTATAAGCAGCTTAAAGCGAAAGTTGGTAGCTGTCTGTGAAAGTGTGTTACTAAGCTCTGTGGAAATTTTCGTATTGTTCAGTGCAAGGACATGACTCCCGTCCATATATCCTTTTTCTCTTATAACAACTTATAAAGTTAAACTTTTTAACTCCTGCCAAATTTTGTTTCATTTGGTGTCAGGAAATGACTATCTCACTTTTGAATTTTAGTTATTGAAAAAATTTATAAGTTAATATTTTCTTTTAAAAAGGTTAATAAATAAATTTTTGTCTAAATTTTCTCAATAAATAAGATAACTTATTTCAAATGTAATTAATAATGTTGTCTGTTATATTTTTTTTGTTCTCCAAGCTTTCAGTCGTTCTACTTGTTTCTTCGGTAATTGTGTTTCAGTGAAGATCTATTAAAACAAAAAACCTTTGGAAGAAGAAGGTCTGTAAAATATTTACAACAATTCTCTACTTGTAAATAATAAAAATATTTACAGGGTGATATTTTTGGTGAAAATAATGTGTGTAAATTTGTAGAGAATTGTAAACAATTATAAGTAATTGTAAATTGTATATGGAACGAATTTCCGCCATCCCTTGTCAAATTTGGTTTGGATGGCACAACGCTGAAACCGGTTTGTCTCCAAACCAAATTTGACAAGGGATGACGGAAATTCGTTCCATAATACATCATACACCCACCCTGTCGGAAACAACAACAACCAAAAAGGAAATAATTGTAAATTATTGTAAATAATTGTAAACAATGTAAATATTAGTAAATATTGTCTCGATGCGAACAACAACGTGTTTCATCCGGGGTTGTACCCGTAAAATATTTATATTATTTGAAATACTTCTTTACTTGTGTTTACAAAATTTTACAATAATTTAAAAAAAATTTACAATTATTTTACATTTTACAATGTAAGTGTAAAAAATGTGAAAATTTGTGTAAGTGCACAAACCTGTTTAAAACCAAATATGAGTGAATTGCTTTTAATTGGCCTTCGTTTAGAAAAGTTAAAATCGCTCAATTTTGATCTATTTTTTAAATAAAAATTTTAAGTATTGGTATTTTTGTTTACTTGTCAAGGTTTGTCAATGCTTGGTTCCTTTAAATATATGTAACTAAATCTATCGTTGAGCATTTAAAGCAAAAATAATTTGCTGAGCTGCATAAACTTTTTTTTTAATGTCCTCGGGTGATTTTTTGAAGGACAAAAACAACTGGAGAATAATACTCTCTAATCGGCTTCGGCGAGAAATCACATTTTCCCGCTTTTTATAATCGAAACTGTATGGTGGAAAGTGTGTTCTATCTATATCTATTTGATACACAAAAAATGATCACGGCTGTACTTTTTGCTGATATATTACATACATATGTTCCATTTAGTTAAACAATATAAGAATATTGTAGTATGTACCACAAAAACGTATATTTTCTATAAAAAATCATAACTCAGAAAAAAAAATCTTCGCTATTAGAGATTTGAGTTGATTGTAGTTCAAAGTGTCTCTTTCCCGGTAAAAAAGTTTGAGAGAAAAAAATACACCTTTTGAGAAATTAAATTAAAAAAAAATATGCACCTTTTGTTTATGGTTAAATAAAAAATTTTAAATAAAGAAAATCAATAATTATATCATTCTATCTTGAAGTGACAAGAATTACTGACATTTGAGTAAAACCATTGTTGGAATCTATTAAATTTTGACAAAGTCATGGGCATTTAAAAAAACCTTCTCACTGTCAATTCAAATAATAGATTTTTGCCTGAAAAAAAAATGTCGTTTAATTCGGCCGAAAAATTTTTCCGAGCCAAAAGAAAAAATACGTGTCTCATTATTTGGACCAACAAACAATGTATTTGAGTTTGGTCGAAATTAAAAATCATGCTCGTACATGACCGGTTGTCTGGAAATGGAAAGCATCGGTTAAAATTTGAGTAGTACTTTGTAGTAGGCACTTGCCTTTCAACTTAAAATAATATGTTAGAAACATAGAATTAACGCTTATATTTCATGAGTATAACAATACTTTGGTATTATATCCTTTATGGACAGTTATTTGTTTCAATTGCAAACTCGTTGCCGTTATACCTAAAAAAAAAAATCAATTTTCTTGACACGATACGCTATCAATTATCGAAAACAAAGCAACACAAAACTAATTTCTTTAACAGCTTAAGGGCAATCTTCTAAAATTCCAATCACTTCTAATTCCAAATATCACCAGAACTATAACAACCTTTTCATCGAATTGTTCTTGCCTACAGGGCTACCAGCCGTAACCATATCAAATATTTTCTATGTTTGTGTAGTCATTCATTTCACTTTGCTGCCACATGCAGTTCTATTTCTATTTTCTCTTTTGGTTTTTTTTTTTGCTCCTTCACAAATGACATTTGTTTGCTTTTGAAATGCTGCTGCTGTTAAGCTGGCAGGCAGGCCGCACATTGTTTTAGTGCATTGCTCCCCTGCCATACAGGTGTGTATTGTAAGCGACACACGCAAATGCGAGTGTGTGTGTGTGTGTGTGTTTCGGTAGGTGTGTTGAAACTTTTTGCAAATACTGAACACCAAATGCGCATACACATACACACATACATACTTATTTACACCTACGAACATGTGTATTTCCAGCTGAAAATATCCATTCGTTTTTTTTTTTTGTACAAAACCTCCCCTTGCTATTTTTGTGCCGGCCTCGCCAACACAATGCTTCCATTCACATCGTGTGCTCGCTCTCCTAGCCCCTGCGGCTAAATCCTTGTTATGCGCAAATCTGCGGTTTTCCACTACACTGCATTCGCCGACAGCTAAAATGCACAGCTATTCATACGTGCGCCTAATCGCGCTTCGACTCTACGTTGTACTCGCACATACATATGTACGTTACACATTCGTAACAAACCGTATTTGGGTTTGCATATTTCCTGGAACAATGTAATGAAGTTTTTGGGATTTAGTAAAGCAGTATGTAATTTAGATATTGCGCTAAAGTGTGGTTCAAAATCCTTAGGATTAATAAAGAATATTACAAATAGGTTAATTAGAACTTACTGAAATTTTTTCGAGAACACATAAATACGTATGTCTACTTTCTGGATATTTAGAAAGTGTGTGAGATTCATGTTTCGACGATTGTAGTTCGAAAGCTTTTGATTGCAAATAAAACGAAAGTTAGACGTGCTATGACTTTGCTCTTTCAAATGCGTGGTTTTTTTCTTGCAAAAAATGCTGTTGACAAGTGTATCCAAAGAAATTAATTATTTTTCCTGCATTCTCTAACTCAAAAGCTAGATGCTCTCGTTCTCGAAATATTTGATTTCGTCCTTCAACTATGTCTTTGAGATTACTCATACGACATGTACTCCTTCCCATAGCTGTACGAATTAATTTCTCCCAGTAAAATAAAAAACAAAAAAATGTTTGTACACTATGTTTCTTAAGGTTTACTAAAAATATTTAATTTGAAAATTCCCATAACCTGCTCGGAGACATCAGCTCTTCGTTTCACGAAATTTGACTAACCCCAACATAAAGTCACCTTTACTGTTTGTGGAAACTCATGGCCTTTTTAATTTCCCCTTTTTGCTTTGAAATGCATTTAAGCAATTTTGCTTTGAGCACCAAAAATGTCAAATGCCTCTCTGGTCTGGCATAAATGTGCATAGTTCAAAAAGCTTAGGCAAACAAACAAGCAAGCACACGTAAATACGCAATACAATGAAAAAGAAAATGCAATAAAAGCTGATTCTGTTGTTGTGTTTTTTTTTTTTATAAATAGACAAAGCAGAAGCAGAGAAAAAAAAATTTATAAAAAAAATGTGAACAACAAATTTTTAACAATCTACAAAGTCGAAGACGTACTGCTGCGCGTGAAACTAAATTTAGCAAAAGTCGGAAAAAAGTCAGAAAGTTACTGTGAAAAGCATATAAGTACATAAGTAAAAAGTTGAAAGAGCAAACAAAACTTTGAAAGCCTGCTGTAAACACTTGCAATGAAAAAGCAAAAAGAACATCTCTCTTCTGGTGCGTGTGTATCTGGGCGTTTTTTTTTTCAATATTTCATACATATGGCTTATGAGTGTACGGGTCATTGTGGCGTTCATAAAGTCGTATGTTTATGGAGCGTTCCATACCAAAACGGACGGGGTTCACACTTCATGTATTTGATTTGTTTAAAATTTTTACGGTTGATGCATAAACACAAATAATAAATAAATATGAAATTTCAGCTTGATTAACACATTTTTCAAAACTTTATAGCACAAAAACAAAAGCCAATCGATTTAATAGTTTTCTAAATATCTCGTGAACGGGGCGAGAAAAGAATTTGAAAAAAAAATCACACTTACACACATCAAAATTCTCGATGAAGGGAGATATTAAATTTTTTTTTTCTTGAAAAATTTTTCACATACAAATTTTTTGGTAAAAAAAATAGTTTTTGAAAATATGCCATCTCAAAATAAAATTAAAAAAAAGTCACAATTGCGCAATATTTAAGTATAGTATTATGGGGTGCACTCTAAAATGATTTGAGCTGCGAAGTTTGTTTTTTACACCGAAATGAGTACATTACAAATTAACAAATTTTTTAAATTTTTTTTAATTTGTTTTGAGTATGCAGTTTTGTAGCTCATTACATTTTAGTAAAGCGCATGTTTTAAGCTACTGCAAAAATGCGTTGATGTTTAATATTTTTTATGCTGACGGCTTTTTCCACCTTTTTCTTATGGAAGAAAATGCGCAAAACCGTTTTCAAAGAAAAAACAAGTGAGCAGCGCTGTCTTCGGCTATGCCGAAGGCTTCATACCTTTCATGAACATCTGCAAATTTTAGTTTGACAGATTACTGATTTTGATACATCGATAGAGGAGTTACATACTTATATAAAAAATCGCATCTAAACAATCAGAGGTATGGAAGATATACTTTATATGGCACCAATCTAAGTGATTTTCACTGCTATGTGATCGGTATGTAAACCGGTAACACAATTTATTGGGTTTAGTTTCCTACATAAAGGAGATATATCGCAAAAACTGGTATCTGAACAATCAGTGCTATAGGAGATAAAGCTTATACAGCATAGATTTTGACGATTTTCTCAGTAGACTTTGTATTATTATTTATAAAATATCTTACGAAATTTATCGGTTTTAGCTGTTCAAATAAAGGAGTTTTACAGTAAAATCCCATATCTGAACAATCAGATGTATGGAAGATATATGTTGTAGTCACCCGATCCTTGTTATTTTCACTGTAAGTATTCTGTTAATGAGTGAAAATGGTGCGAAATTTCATGTTCTTAACTGCATAAATGGAGGAGATATGATAAAAGACCTCATATCTGAACAATCAGTTGTATGGGGGCTGCAGGTTATAGTGACCCGATCTTCGTTATTTTCACTGTAAGTCTTCTGCTGATAATGAGTGAAAACAGCGCGAAATTTCATGGTCCTAGCTACATAAATGGATGAATTACAACGAAAAATCTCATATCTGAACAATCAGTTGTATGGGACCTATAGGTTTTAGTTATCCGATCTTTTTAATTTTCACTGTAAGTTTTCTGTTGATAATTATTGAAAACTGTGCGGAATTTCCTGTTCCCAGCTATATAAATGGAAGAGATATAACGAAAAATTTTATATCTGAACAATCAGTTGTATGGGAGCTATAGGTTATAGTGACCCGATCTTTGTAATTTTCACTGTAAGAATTCTGTTGATAATGGGTGCAAGGGCTGCAAAATTTCATGTTCGTAGCTGCATAAATGGAGAAGTTATAACGAAAAATCTCATATCTGAACAATCAGTTGTATGGGAGCTATATGTTATAGTGGTCCGATTCTTCCGGTTCCGACAAATGATTAATACATTATAAAAATACACCCACCTACCAAATTTGATCCGGATATCTCGAAAACTGAGAGACTAGATTGCATACAAACAGACAGACAGACGGACAGACGGACAGACGGACAGACGGACAGACGGACATGGCTAAATCAACTCAGCTCGACGTTCTGATCATAAAAGTATACATTTTAATGGGTCTATCTCTTTTTGTTCTGGTACTTACAAACATCGGACCAAAGTTATAATACCATTTCATGCTCATGAAAGGTATAAAAATAAAAATTAACGTCAGTTTTTTAATCGCTTAAAACTTGCGCTTTATTATAGTAAAATTTAATGGGCAACAAAATTTCATGCTCAAAAAATTCTAAATTAAATTAAAAAACGTCTAAATTTGTAATGTACTCATTTTACTCAACTTCGGTGTAAAAAAATTCATAACTCAAATTATAGTAGAGTGCACCCCGTAATACTATATTTAAATATTGCGCAATACTTAGAGCTTGTGATATTTTTGAGATGGCATCTTTTCAAAAACAAATTTTTTTACCAAAAAATTTTTATGTGAAAAATTTGTCAAGAAAAAAAATTAAAAAACATTTCTTTTCATAGAGTGAGAGCTCAAATTTCATATTTATTAATTATTTATGTTTGTCCATCAAACCTAGAAATTTGAAACAAATCAAACACATGAGGTGTGAAATCCCTTCCGCTTTGGTATAGAATGCCCCATATATATATATATATATATATGTATTTGCCTAGGGGTGCTGCAAGCAAGCAAATCCACACAAAGACTTTAACTGCCTGTCGCTTGTTATTATTTACCCACATTATAAGTATATTGCATATTAATTTTATTTTCACTCCTTCTCCCTACCACCTCTCTCTGTTCTATTTCGCTGTGGCTTCAGTTTGTTGTTTTTCGAAATTCTCTCGATTTACTCATGCAGGCATTTCATGCTTTAACTTAATATTTAATTTAATTTAATTTTTGTATTTTTAACTTTGTTTATTTTCCATGTGCATCGTTTGCGTATTTGCATTGCCGCAGGAACGTCTGCTGTTGTCGGTGTTGCCGCGTCACGTTGCCATGGAAATGAAGGACGACATTGCAGGGCAGCCGCGTGATACGCAATTTCACAAAATCTACATACAACGACACGAAAATGTCAGGTGAGTAGGTGGATATATGTTAATATACATACTTATACATATGTGTACATTAGGGTGGTGCAATTTAGCTTTTCCCTGCCAACCCCTGAACTGAAACTTATCGAAAATAAGTTGGCCAGTATTTCAAATCCTTTGTGTTTCATATCAGGAAAATAAATTTTTTCGTTCGCTAAAAAGGCAAATAAGCAAATGGATGTATAGGATTGACAACAACAACCACGCTGTCGAGTTTAAATAGCGGCAAATCAGCTGCACTTGATATTAGTTGGTTGAATAAGGAAAATGAATTAGCAACAAGAGTTTACGGGATGTACATAGCTCAGTGGTTAACGCATCTGACTTTGAACATTGATTACGCAGGTTCGATCCCTGCTGAAGTCTAGAAAAAAGAAGTCTGATAAGGAGATGTGGTGATCTCCGAAATAGTGCTATAACTTCTACCGCTTAGACTTTGTTGCTTTTTCAATTTTTCCTAATAAACAATCGTGGTACAAAGCTCAATAAAAAATATTAAAAATAAAATTTTAATAAGCCACAATAACATTGACAAATACAGTAAAATTAAATTTTCAGCATAATTTTATTGTTGGAAGATAAACAAAATTATTTCTCCATATATATAAAAAATACGATTATCGTTATTTTCCATTCTCTATAATTCTTTGGATGGCAGCAAAATTATTCCAAAAAGTAGATCTTCCTGTGTATTTTTGGACCACCTTAATGTACAAATATATATAGAAAATAGCAATCGAAAATCTAATGTAAGAAAAGGAAACCGCAAATCTTACAAACCTAAAAAAGTTCATTTTTTTTCTTCCTCTATTTGTGCACCAATGTCATATCTATGTCATAACATTTGCAAAAAGCGTCTTTGGGAGCTGAAGCATGCATGTTGATAAAAAGATAAATAAATTTGATTGGATTTAGGTGCTGTCAACTGACCGGCCGCTTTTCGAATTTATGGCAAGCCTCTTTGCCACAGTGAAAATCGCTTCCACAAAGCTTATCGATTTCTTGTTTTTACTTTCAAGCGAATTCTCATAAATGCTTTCACAAATCGTAGGCTGTCTGCACACGCTCCTCTGATTCGCTACTACTTTAGTTCTTCACTTTTATGCTCTCTTACGGAGTTTTCTTTTCTACAAGAAATGTTGTCTTCTTATTGCCCCGTCTTAGTGTTTGTGCGAAACGGGCTTTGAGAAGTCTCTATACCTGTCTCGCACCTGTGCCGGTTAGTCCAGTCTATTCTGAAGACCCAAGCGAGCTGTTCGCAGTGACCAACAATTTCTATAATCATGATAAGAAAGTAAATCGTGTCGAACTTATTTAGTTTTTCCAAATAAGTTGATGGCAATTAATTAATTAATTTTAACTAGAAAGCCAAAATTGAATTACATTTTTGTGAACAGGTGGCAACCCTAATTATAAGATTTTCAAAGCAAAGTTTTTACTAAAATTGCATTCAGCTTGGGTATAACTTAAATAAATTCAATTTTTCAAATAGGTGGCAACCCTCTTTGAAGGCGTTTCAAACGAAATTATTTGTATACCTCTTCCGTCTGACATTATGATATACATATACATATTTCAGTTTCCGAATTAAGTTGACTTTGATTTTTTAAACACGTGGTAACTCTCATTAATGCAGTGCAGAAATAAACTCTTTTCAAACCCATTTCGATTGATACCCATATTGTTACAATTGATATAACTTTTTAAAAAATTTAGCCTAATTTTTTAAATGGTTTAAAGAATGTAATTAAATTTTAATTAAAGGGATTTGGCATGTGCATAAGGTATCACTATATTGGTGTCAATCAAAAGAGGTTTAAGAAGGTAGTAGGTTGAAAATATTTTGAAGAGTGTTGTCACATATTTGAGAAGTCGAATTAAATTATTTTATACAAACTTACATATATGAAATATTAAAAATGGATGTCAAATGATAGGTTTGAGAGTTGCCTCAGTTTAAAAGGTTAAATTAAAATTATTTAATACATTAAATGAATTACTAAACGATGGTTATCAATGGAAATGGGTTTAAAATCCTTTATTTCAGAACTATTTTTAGGAGGGTTGCCACGTGTTTAAAAAATTTATTTCAACTTAATTCATCAGTTACATGAAGTATTTATAACAATATCCTACGAAAAATAATGAGGGAAATTTGGGTCGGAAAATAATTTTTAAGAGGGTTGCCGCTTATAAAATCAAAGTCAACTTAATTCATCAGTTAATTGAAATATGTATAACAATGCCAGACGATAAAAAGATTTTAGTTTGAAAATACTTTTAAAGCGGTTGCCACCTGTTTGGAAAGTCGAATTTGTTTAACTTTAACACAAATATTAGGCCAAACGAAAAAGTTAAGTTAATTAGGGTTGCCATGTATTTTTTAAGGTCATCGCAACGTTATTTCGAATTTCCAAAATGAGAACTCAAATTAAAGAACTGGGATTCTACATAGATGTGCAATAACGTTTTATTTTTTGAAGTTAGAACTTTTTAGCGGTACAGGGAGATTTGAAATTTAATGGAATGAAAACCGACACTGCTCACCACTCGCTATTCTCATTCTATTTATTCAATATTTTCTTCGTATTCAATTTGTTGCACTGTCAACTTCGAGTGTATGTACTTGTAATTCAGTTCGCTCATGCTCCATTAGTCCTAAAGGTTAAATTTTCTACACTCCAATTCATAAAAAAATTATTCCAGGTGACATGCTATGTAATAAATCATTACCATCATTATTTATTTATGTGAAGCTATGTATGCATGTATGCATACGAGCACACCCACATACACATGCATGTACATAAGTACCACCGATTGCGCATATCCTCTTATCCATTTTAAGGTTTTTGCAATTTCATGGAGCGAGCAACAATTTTCTTACGATTTCCTATTCGCACACATTTATACATACATACATTCAAAATTTAACAAGTTGCAGTTGTTTTTCTTTCTTTTCCTATAAGACTTCACATTTACGCGCTACTTAGAGGGCGCACAGTGTGGCGGCACAAAGTGAATCGCGCCAAAGTGATTATGGCGTGAATTGCTCTTTTCCTGTTCTCAGAATTGCCACTTTCGATGTCAACAGAAAAAGCAAAAGAAAAAAACAAAAATAATAATAAAAAAATGTACTTGTAAATGTCCAAAGGTAGGCAATTTGGTCGTTCGTTACCTTGTCGCTTGTAAAGTACAGACAGCACTTGTGAGTTGGCATGGCTCATACTTGTGCCACAAGTTGCCATGCACTATTTACACAGCTGTGTGAAATTCATCGTTACAAAGAGCCACAGATATTTCGTATTTGTAGAGGATGAAAAAATGTTTTTTCTCCAATGGCTTCAAATTTGCGGCAGCAGTGGTTCAATGGTGTGGGTGCGTATGACTGCCTTGGTCTGGGTTTATCTTAAATTCGAAGAGCAGGGCAACCTTCGTACAGGGAAAAATATTTCAAAAATTTAAACTGTTGTAAGATACATACATACAAGTTCTTTTTAAATAATATTATCTTATGGTTCGAGGCTAAACTTTATTTCTCCTACAAGCAAAAGTATGTGTATGCATCGTAGGTATGCATAAAGCAGATAATTATGTATGTGCGAATTTACGTATTTATTCTTAGCGTTGAACGGAATATTTAAGCATCTCAATTTCACCTTGATACTACATAATAAATCACCATTCATGCTTACTCGTATCTTAACATGTTGCCAAATAAATTCATTTCCGTTATCGCAATTTGTACTAATTAAATTTTAATCATCTTTTAGCTTAACATATGCATTTATAATTGAACACAAATTCTTATCTTTATAGCTCATTACATTGATCTAAATAAATAAACATTCTTTTTTCTCTAATAGCATACTTTTTGCGGACATTTGCGGCTTCACCAGCCTCTCTGATCAATGCACCGCCGAAGAATTGGTTCGGTTGCTTAACGAACTTTTTGCCAGGTAAGATGAATGTAATGTACTCGTATTATACTTATGAAGAACGTCATAACTCGAAAAAACCTAAAAATTGGCTTTAAGCGTTTTTAATCGACTTTAAAAAAAGGAATATTTATAAAATTTTTTTTAATGAAGATTACCGCATAAGTTTCAAACTCGTCAACCGATTTCGATAATTCATATAATATTGAAATCTAACGCAGATGATAAACTTGCGGTCATATCGAATTTGCAGGACTGTAAACCCCTCCTAAAATCGAGGCGGTTCGATTCAGTGGTTCGCACCACTTAAAAAACATGTACCGGTACAAGAGAGGGTTTATGAGTATCTCCCTGGACCCGGTTCGGTTCAACTGGTTAAATTTTGCTTGAAGAAGTGAATTCACAAGGCACTTTTATTTAAGTGGGTTTTAATAAATTACATGAATTATTTTTTTGAAGTGAAACTTCTTTAGCGGCGGTTGGTTGGTTGGGAGTAAATTGGCAAATTCAACGGAAATTGCACACGGAAATGGTGGGATTTTAGGGATTTTTGGGATTCTCGGGACTTATCGATATAATAATCGATGTTTTTATCGGCTTTGTTATCGATATTTTATCGGTTTTGTTATGGTTATTTTTATCGATTTTGTTATCGAAGTTTTTATGGATATTGTTATCGATTTTGCAAGCGATTCTTTCGGAACTTGTATATCGACAATATATATATATAATATATATCGATATTTTTATCGATTTTGTTATTGATATTTTCAGCGATTGTGTTATCGATTTATTAATCGATATTTTAAACTATTTTGTTATCGATATTTTTATCGAACTTGTTATCGAGTCGGTTTTCAATTATTTATCGATTATTTAACGATTTTGATATCGATTATTTACCTTTCGTTATCGTTATCGAATTTTTAATAGATTTTTGTTATCGATTATTTATTATAAAGATTAAATTGAAGGTGAAGAAAACAGAAAAGCATAAATGTTAGTGGTAGAGGTAGGGATCTAGATAGAAAAAAGAGAAAAATACAACCTTAAACAAAATCAGATGTATGTACTTACTTACTTACTTTTTTCTAAAATACCCAGAGCGAAATTAAGAAATTTTTAATAAATATTTTAAAGGTTTGGATAATACGTAAGCCTAGTCGAGTTGACAAATACTGCATACTTAGAATTTTCAATGGAAACTCAAGAACTTGGTTTAAATCCTCATTTTCGATGGATTGAAACATGTATTTGGCCTTAACTTCAAACGGAAGTGGTCAAAATAATAGGTGTGCGCATTTTACCAGTTTTGCCTATTTTTTCCTTCATTTAATGTTCATTATTTTTCACCGACTTCACAAACAATAAGCAGGAAGGTTATCAATTCGTCGAAATATATATATTTTATTTTATGTATGTTGCCGCATAACTTTGGACCACGTAAACCGATTTCTATAATTCTTTTTTTAAAGTAAAGTAAACCTGACAGGTGGTTTGGTTTAAATCCAATCATTTGATCATGAAGAAATTAACGATAATCTTAACTTTTTTATGAGAATTAAAGTCGGATTTTTTGCTTAAAAATTACTTGTTTGTATTAATAAAAATTTTTAAGCTTATTATATAAGGGCCATTTCAGCGGAGACGACACCTAAGATATAAAAATAAATTACTTAAATTTTGTTTAAATCTGTGATTTTCGGTTTGGCTTTGGCATTTCAAAATAAAAACGGCCAGAAAAAAAACGTCAGTTCGTCTCAAAAACCAATTCGATTCAAAATTGGTATGCAGCTCTGCAAATTTGGTTCCTTACATTGATCAAAGCTGCTAAGTAAAATGGAAAAGAGCGAAGCTGTGAAAGAGAAAATTGTAATCCTTGGATCCCTTTAGGCCGTTTCCTGATTTATTTCGTACAGTATTTATGGTGGCAGCTGTGGTGTAGTGGATAGCAGTGCACGCTTCCACTCTGCAGGACCTGGGTTCAAGCCCTGGTCAAAGAAACATCGCAAAAAATGTAGAAAAAAGGTATTTTCTTAACAGCTGTCGCCCCTCGGCAAGCAATAGCAAACCACCGATAGTATTTCTGCCATGAAAAACAGCTTCTCACAAAAATACAATCGCCGTTCGGAGTCGGCATAAAAGTGTAGGTCCCTCCCTTTGTGTAACAATAACGAGGCGCACGCCTCAAATCGGAGGAGAAGCTCGGCCAAACACTAACATATTGTGTAAGCGCCAATCTATTATTATTATTATTAATATTATTATTTATGCACACCCGAAATTAGTTGGTTTCTACATATGTATGGGCTTGCCTGAGTTCCACTTTCCTGGTGTGCATTTCTTACTGGGTTTGTCGAAGACAACAATTTATTAATTGGCATTGCAAAAATATGACTTGCTACATGTTAAAAAATTATAACAGCCTCATTGCATAAATTACAACAAAGGAATAACATATGTGACCTGAAATTGTTAAACGCCTTAGATAAGTGCCAGAAATGATTCATCTCTTTCAAGTAAAATAATTAATTGCTATGCCCAATGTCTCATAAAAAACAACAAATCATTGCATGCCTTCATAAATTGACACAGGTGTCTGCTTAAGTAATGTTGCTAACTTGGCACGAATTTGTGGATTACAGTGCTTACTCTGTGTATTTATTAGAAATTCAATAATAAACCTTTAAACGATGTTAGGCATTTCAGATGATGGCGAATGAAATTTTGTTGGAGTGGTGAGCTGAAGGAAAATTTCGTGAAATATTTGATAATTTCTACTCAGTCTTTTACATGGCGCTATTAATTTTGAATTGGATAATTCTAAAAAGTGCTAAATTATATTTTTTAAAAGCATATTTTTGTGTACATATTTTCAACATCTTAAGAGTGGATAAAACAACTGGGTTTTAAATAGGTATTGATGGGAGATGAACAATTCAAAATGTTCTTGTTTTCTTTATTAAATCAGCGACAAGATATAGCATCAAATACTGCGCGGTCGGGCTGGGGGACTATCCGTATATTCGTTTATCCGTTCGGATATTCGTGGATACAGACAAAATTCGGATACTCGCATTCGATATAGGTTTATAGGTACCTAAATACGGTGTTCTTCATAGTTTTACTTTTTTATTCATCTTCGTTATAATGCATGCAGTGGAGGGTTAAATATCGTGTGTATATTAGGGTGGTCCTTAAATGTAGGAAGCAAATTTTTACATCAGATCGCAAAGGGGTCAAAGTTCAGACGCCTTAACCGAGTCCAATCAGGACCAAAATTTATATGTGATATCTTCGACTATGGTAGTATCGATTTTGGATATTAGACGAAAAAAAAATTATTTTACTTTTTTGAGTCTCTATAGAGAAATCTGAACTTTGCCTCCTGTGCGACACGCCTTAACCGTCTCCAATTGGGAGCAAAATTTATATGTGATATCGGTGATAGTTGTATTACCCGTTGAGGGGGTGAGAATGAAAAAAATCGCTAATTTGATTTTTTAAGGATCACCCTAATGCACATACAAACAACCCAATTCGGACACCATTTAACTTTTCCATCTCCGATTTTTTTTTATTTTGTTATGTTATAGTACCAATTTAGAGAGACCTTCCTGATTAAATTTTTTCTTTTCGAATTGTTAAAAATTTTTTTTTTTAGTGCCCATAACTTTACGAAAAATTGACCGAGATTTCTAATTTTTTAAACGCTTTTCAACATAAAATCGAAAAAAATTTCAAACCCGTATTTCGGCAAAGTTTCTTAGGTATTATGTAAATAAACCGGTTTTATTAAATTTTTCTTTCTACGACATTTTTCTTCAAATTTGCAGATTTGATCGATTGGCAGCTGAGCATCATTGCCTGCGAATCAAACTTTTGGGTGATTGTTATTACTGTGTATCTGGCTTGCCCGAGCCACGGCCGGATCATGCACATTGTGCCGTGGAAATGGGTTTAGACATGATTGATGCGATAGCGTAAGTGCAACCAAATTAATACATACATACATCCCTGAATTGTTTCTTTTTTGCTTAGAAAACAAAAAAATGTTAATAAGAAATAAGAAATAAGAAAGTGACAAGAAACACCCTGAGGTTATAGTCTATTCGTAGGCGTTCGAACACGTTTTTACACTTAGGTTTAGAAAAGTTTTTTCTTAACACGTTTTAAACATTCCAAATGTGCTTTTTACGATTTTTTCGTATACATACTAAGCACACAGATATGTTAATATACATACATATATATGTATATGTGCTTAGCTAAATATTATTATTACATACTTACTGATACTTCCTTTTCACCAATATATTCAGGCTTGTTCGTGAGGTGATGGCTGTCAATGTTAATATGCGTGTTGGCATACACACCGGACGTGTGCATTGTGGCGTACTGGGCTTGGTCAAGTGGCAATTTGATGTGTGGTCGAATGATGTGACACTAGCTAACCACATGGAAAGCGGCGGCATACCTGGGTGAGTGTTAAATGGCGTAAAAGTTTTTAACTGCGTTTGCCAGATACTAACTTATGCAAGCACATGTCTACATATACAGTGGTGGGAGAAAAAATAGAAACGCAATTTTTTACAAGTTTTTTGGATGATTTACTTTTGTTTAGTTAATGTTTAATAATTTTTTTTTCACAAAAATTTCTATTAAAAACGGCCTCAAGTTCAATAAAAAATGTTGAATATAATTGTTATAAGGCCATAAACAATAAAAATAATTGATTTAGGAAGAGCATACCTAAAATTAAACATTCTAAATATAGAATTATTAGCAAAAACCAACAACAACAACAACCACATGATCAAGCTGCGCTTGATTGTAACGGGTGATTTTTTTGAGGTTAGGATTTTCATGCATTAGTATTTGACAGATCACGTGGGATTTCAGACATGGTGTCAAAGAGAAAGATGCTCAGTATGCTTTGACATTTCATCATGAATAGACTTACTAACGAGCAACGCTTGCAAATCATTGAATTTTATTACCAAAATCAGTGTTCGGTTCGAAATGTGTTGAATGTGTGAAAAGTTGGCAGAAAATCCGCTTTTTTATCGACAAATTTTGTTCAGCGATGAGGCTCATTTCTGGTTGAATGGCTTCGTAAATAAGCAAAATCATGCGATTTGACGCCTTTAGACTATTTTTTGTGGGGCTACGTCAAGTCTAAAGTCTACAGAAATAAGCCAGCAACTATTCCAGCTTTGGAAGACAACATTTCCGAAGAAATTCGGGCTATTCCGGCCGAAATGCTCGAAAAAGTTGCCCAAAATTGGACTTTCCGAATGGACCACCTAAGACGCAGCCGCGGTCAACATTTAAATGAAATTATCTTCAAAAAGTAAATGTCATGGACCAATCTAACGTTTCAAATAAAGAACCGATGAGATTTTGCAAATTTTATGCGTTTTTTTTAAAAAAAAAGGTATCAAGCTCTTAAAAAATCACCCTTTAGTTGGCTTAACAAATGAAAAATTGGAAAAAGCAACAACAGTTTATGTGGCGAACTTAGCTCAGTGGGTGGTTGACTGCTGGCTAGGCGGCTGGGGTCATTGAATCGAATCCCAGTTGAAGAAGTCTGATGAGAAGAAGTGGTCATATCCGAAATAGCTATAACTTTTACCAAAAATGTAATTTTATAGTATGCTTAGATACCATAAGCAAAATGCACCGTAAATTGGCCGCAACGCCCAACCATTACGACATACGAACTATCTGTAAGATAATCAAAAGGCAATTATTTTTCTTAATCATTTGCGTAGTTAGAACCAAATTTTATTATATACTACTCTACTCCTTCATTGCTGGGTTCTGGAATGAATGTCACGCACAGGTAATTCATGCTTATACATCAAATTCAACTCGATGGACAACAACGACATACAAACCTACAATATGTATTTATGCTCGAGTATAGAAACATTGCCACAAAATTGGGGCAAATTTCAACCGCTGGAGTACGAATGGTAAACAACAACATTCAGTTGAGTGACATACCAGCTCCACTAAATTGGCACTTGCATGCAAATTCGTTATGCACAAATCACTTACTAACAATTTTCACCTACACACTCTAATTTTCTCACATTTCTGCCAACTTCAGTAGCGTTGTATGTTGTGTAAAGAAGGAGGAACAACTTTACACTGTTTTCTGTTGCTGAGCTGGTTGTACGAATATAAGGTTTTTGGCTTTTTTTTTAATCAGAGAATTCTTTCAACTCGGAATAATCGGTAATCTGAAATTACGTGACTGTAGTCATAAGCTGAAGTTTTCAAACAATCAACAACTAGCATATTTTCAATGATTTTTCATGTGTTCTCCAAAAACCTATTTCTTGTGGATGGCCAAATTTGATCGATTTTCATCGTCGCTGCCTGCTTCTGCTGCTGTTTGATCTCAGTATCCAACTAAATTGAGTTTTGGTATCTTTTTGAAGTGCTGTAAGCACATTACACTTTTATAATCTGGGAAAATTGATGGATGTGGTTGTTTCGTTTGTTTCCTAGAAATTTTCATTTCACCAAAATGGACTACATGCATTTCAATCATCTTTTTTAATCATTTGTGGCCTTAAAACGGTAAAATATCACATCGTGCGACAGTAAATTTTACACACCTAAAAACTAATACGTTCGCGAAACTAGGTCCCAAACATATTTGGGAAAAATATATATATCGTCGTTTAAATTGGATTTGCTAACGCAAGCTGTTGGCTCAATCCTCATCCATTCGAACTGAAATATACTAGCCAGAAATGCGAACCATTTTGAAATATGAGTGTTTTTACTGTCTAGAAAATAATTTATACAACCTCACATACGCGGTTTTGCATTTTGTTGATACGCGGTTTTGTACTTTAAACGACGATATATATGTATATGTATTTAGTGTTTCTCTCTGACGTTCGGATTTTTTTAAAGGACTTTGAATTTTCAAAGACATGATTAACTCAAAACAGGAACGAAAAATTGCTGAAAATGTCCTTTTAAAATTTTATCCTTGATCCTCCTTGAAAATTTGCATAGGTTGAGAGAGAGTGCAGTATCTGGAATTAGGGTTCTTTTGACTTCTTTGCGGATGAATCGAAGCTGAATGAGAAAGTAGGTGGAGGTGTATTCAGCGACGATCTCTCCCCATCAACCTGAAATTGAGGCAACAGAATCACGGTAACGTTACTGCGCTATTAATTTTATGCGGGTTTCTGGTCACAGCGAAATCGCTGGAAACTGCATGGCCGATGAGCTGGCAAGACAGCGAATGCTTGAAGAAGTTCTCCCGGATCGAGGAACAGTGTTGCCATCTTTTGATTTTCAGAAAGCACCAAAAACTTGGAAAAAAGCACCAAATTTTTTTGAATCAAGGGATGCTTTTTTCATAACATAATACCGAAGTACTGCACATTAAAATTGGCATATACCGAGAAAGAAAAATCGAATCGCATCAAACGAAAATGATGCCCTAATTAGAAATAGGCAAATAATTTGATGTTTTCATTATATAACCTCAAATATCGCTAAAAACCGTGTTTTTGGCACTTTGAGGGATATCTCAAAATTCTAGTGCTAGAGCAATTGTGAGGCCAGATTTGGATTCAGCACCAACCAATGATATGTTTTACTCAGTTGGTAAAAAAAATCAAAATTTTTACAAATAATTAGAAAAGAAAAAAGCAAATACTTAACTTACTTGCGTACTAGCATTTTCAACGCGAATACTGCAACTTCTTGCAACTTGCAACTTCAGCTTTTTATCAATCATGGTTGTATTTTAGTCCATTTAAATTTATAGAGTCTTGTAAATTCAGTGCTGCCACAGCCTTAAATATTTCAAATTATTTCAGGTTTTAACCATCTCGAAGTAATTTTAGTTCAGAAAAAAGCACTAAAAAAGGCACTAGGCACTAAATAATTTTTATTTGCGTTTTAATTTTCAAAAAGCACTAAATCTAGTGCTTAAAGCACCAAGTTGGCAACTATGTCAAGGAAGTCTGGACAGCTGGGCGTTTAGCCAGCAAGGCGAAAAGCTTGTAATGCAGGATGGTTGAAGCCTTTTGCCCACGTTTAGACCGAGGGCGGACCAGGGAGCCCTTGAAATTTAGAAAATTACACCTCTCTACCTTCGTGGGAGTTCCAACTGGTCACCGGACTCTAACTGCGCCAACTATATGGCCTGGTACCCTGTTTTTGCGAGCTTTCTAGAATGGATATCAGTCGCTTGAGGAACTTCGTTGCGAGTACGCAGCGTTTTTCTTATAAGAAGCCTGAGGATTAATCGTTTTATGTTCCTACCCTCCCACTCACCCGGCTGGCTTACCCTTTCTCTCCATGTCTCGTCTCCATTTCTGTTGCAACTTCAAAGCGCACACAGTGAATTGAAAGAGAATCGTGGCCAGGCACTTAGCAAAATGTGTTAAGTGCTAGTCATTTATTTTTGTAGGTATGTACATACAAAATCGATTACTGCAGATAATGTTTTATTAGCAATAAGTTGTTGATGACTTCCTGCTAACGCGAAACGGTGTCATATGATTGTAAGTGGCACCTAATTTTACCATTGTTGAGGCTTATATAATAATTTTACATATTTTTTATGGCAAGTACATTTCTTATCCAAAGAAGGAAGGCCAAAAAATTTACCTTAGACTAAATAGCTAACGTGATCAATGAACGTCTGGAAAGATATTTCCATTTGAAGCAAAATTTTCCGTTGTGGATTCCCTTTCTCTTCTCTTAGTTCAATATTTTTTTTGCATTATGTTTAGATTAAGTTATGTTGCCCTTATACTCTACAGTTTCTATTGAATGTTGAATGTATTTCATGTTTTCCTATACAAAACACATGGAAAAATTTGAACGTTTTGAGCGACCTCTAAATATTTTTTTCCGATTTGAAAATAAAAAAACAGGTGAATAATTTTTTTCTGTATAAAACAATTCTAGGGGGTGAGATTATTAAAAATACGGTCTACCGTAATGTACATGCATAAGTATCTCGATTAAAAGGAATGCTTCTCCACAAAACGCTGTAGCCACATTTACGAGTACATGCGTAGCGTCTGAGTAATTCACTATAAAACACACACAAATTCTTGTTTTATTAAGCGTGAAACTAAAAGAAAGGCGGAGTAAAACAAATTTAAGGATATCCTTGTAATGATGCTTCAAACCAGTATGTTGCTCAATCATGTGTATATCTTGCGTTTGCTTTCATTGCATTCCTTTCCAATGCTCAACTACATATTTATTCAACCGCAACGAATTCTTACATGGTACTTAGTAACAACGAGAAATACATATATACTCATACACATCCATGTAAATATGTACACGTACGTGTGCCCGCATAGTGAAGATAACAAAAATTAACAGTTAGCCTTGACATCCTTTGTTGATAACGACAATTTAATCCTTATTAAAGCTTTCGGCTTTTGAACACTCAGCCTACATAAATGTATCAATTCGTAATCTG